GCGCTTAAAAAAAGATGCAGAAAGCACATGTCTTATCCTTTAGGTTAGTCTTACTGACATACTTTTGCTACATCTGCAGCAAAGTACACACTTGGCTGCCTTTCTTTTATGAGCATCAAGAAGTGACAAGTTATAGAGGAACTTGCATTAACAGTCAGAAATTCCAAAACAAAAAAAAAAGCTTGACTTTATGTGGTTTGTCCCTTATTTTCTGGCTGAATTTAGTTTTTGCACTTTGAAATGTAGCTTTTGTTAATTTTATGGTGGTAAAGATAGGATAATCAGTAGCTTGAGCATATCTTAAATGGACTTTACTTTTTATTCAAGCAGATTTTTACACTGGGACTTCACTTCCTCTCAGCTGACAAAACATCTACAGTACATAGGACATTTATTTACCAGATATTCAAGCTCCCTGCTTTAAAGTTTAGGTTTAGTGGCAATCTATATGAGTCTAATAGTCATCAAATCTCATAGATAGTCTTGTCTGTATAGTCAGAGGCTGATGTGTCTTGTTCCATGATTAAAAACACATCAGTGAGCTGCACAGACACTGGGTGACATATTCCTTCATTATGACTGTAGTTTATTTTCACTTGTCCAACTCACACTGCTCCGCTGCTGTAAATACTCACTATTGTATGACTTTTGTATTAATGTGGCTCCGGTCTCTAACAAAGAAATGATTTACCCTTGAGTAACATGTGCTACAGTACCCAGCTGTTTAGGTGAAACTGCACAGCCTTATAAATAATTAAACTACATATCTGTAATTTACATCTTCAACCATAAACAAAGTAAATATCAGCATCACCAGCCTCATGCTTTAAAGACTGGAAAATTGCCTCTTGTAAATAAGTAATTTTTTATTTGAGGACCTTTTTAAAAGAACTTGGATTGGATATTTGACCCTGTGCTCTATTCTACAAATAATCCTACTAATCTAGAACAACATTGCTTTACCACTGGAAATATTTACTGTAAATCTACAACAGATAGCACTTGGATCTGTTTTTAATTTGGCTTCAACAGGCTGAAACTAAATGTGTTGCATCCTCACAAAAGCATTCTAAAAACATCCCAGACTGACGACACTTTCCTGCTCAAAAACATCAGACTAATGCAACTATCACCTTTCTCTCCAAGTTCCAAAAATATAGATATCTGATTTTCAGCAACCAGAGCTGGGCTTTGTCTCAGGAAGAGTTTGTTATATGAGCCTGTGCCTTTGGGCCACATTTCTTTTATAACTCCTCTATCACAGACATTACTCACACGTCCTATCTTGTCCTCATTCTTCTCTTCTTCTAATGTGTTAGAAAGTTCTCCTCCGTTCCTCAGGTAATGTATATGATGCTGTCCTTCATTTGACACACAACATGCTATTTAACACCCTAATAGTCAGGGATTATCAGCAGAGTCTCCTTCTTGTGTCTGAACCCTGGGTCATACATCACTCATCTGACTGGAAGAAGAAGATGAATATTTCTTTCAGCTCTGTTACATAGAAGCTTCCTGAGTGGCTTCCTACTTTGCTGTGAGAGGAAGCTGTGCTTGGCTTGCAGCTCCTGCATCAGTAGAATTAACACTTTTTTTTAGTAGCCTGTTCTCTCTGATCTCTACACTATTATGTCATAGAAATATAGCAGGTACCTGCCACTGCCATCAAAATGTTTTCTTTTAATCAGTCTGTTTGTCCATATGCACGCACACACTCACACACAGAGCCTGCATCTGCCTCTGGGTATAGCCAGGCAGAAACATTGTCAGATCCATGCATCATTGGTAAGATCACCCGCCTGCCCGCCACCACCGTCACTACCCCCTTTTCTAAAGCTACCTGCAGGCAGCAGGCCATGGAAAGGCAACTCAGCCATAAGTTCCCCCAGCTTTACATTTAGTCCTTTATAGGAGATGTACACTGGCTCTGCCTGAGAAAATGAGCCGAGGCAGACGGCGCATGCTCATGAAGGGCCACTCTCCATGTTTATTTGCACACTTCAGGGCCCTTCCTGTGGTTGATTTAGAGCCACTGCCTCCTATACTTATGACAAATGAAAGCCCTTTTTATGACTTTGGCATCAGCAGCTGTTGTTACTGGTGCTGGCCTGCTTTAGACTGACGTTACCAGCAGCTTTTGTCATCTTGTCTATAGGCCGAGCCACCCCTTTCACTTGCACTTGTTGCCCGGCTGATGAGAGGAAGACGCTGCAGCTGATTGGTCAGATAGATTTATGAATGCAGACCTTGTCCCCCCGGACTCAGAAGCGAGGGATTCATGCTTGATTAAAAGCGCTGTCAGAGTTTTTGTGTTGGATTGATTTTAGTCTCTTGCACATCCTGAAGGTGACTCTGATCTGCTTCTTTCTGTCATGTGGCACAGAGCCTGTTTAAACCTCGTTGTGTCTGTACTTGGCTGGACATGTTGTTAGATTTTACAGGTATGAGGAGTCACTTCCTGTAATCATATGTTGGTTAGCTGTGTTATGGTCAGGACAGCATATTAACATCTGGTCCTCTGCTCTCAGCTGACCTGCTGAATGTGACATATGGACAGTACTGTGGGATACCTTTAGGTGCATACGCTGATATAAAAACCATTTCTAATTTAAAACACTACGACATGAAAGTTAAATCACTGTTATATTTTTGTATGTTCAATAAATCAAAATGCCCTGTGCTACACTGATTAACAATGCAAAACACTATTAGAAAAACATCCCTTCATTCTCAGTGTTTGATATTTCAGAAACACAACTGGTCATAAAACCTAAATAGTGACCACATAACTGACAGTTTGGAGGTAAAGTAAAACAAATAAAAATCTAAAATGTCACTTTGATGCCAGGAACTGTTTTGTAAGAACATGTCACAATTTTGTTTACATATAGAAATTAATTTCTTCACATTGACGTAGCACGTTTGTTTTCTCAGCCAGCATCTTAATGTGAGCGATGGGGAGCGATGGGGTGAACACACAAGTTTCTGTGCAAATTAGAAAATTAGTTCTTTCTACATTCTTCTCCCTGGTTTGAAGCGGTGAGGCCCAGATGGCTCACCTACTGTATTTCACTGCACCAATCAGGGTCTAGCAACTTTTGAATCTAAATCTGATGAATGTTGCTGGGTGGTTTGCTAACTTTAAGTTAGGTTTTATTTTATTTTGTATTTAGTCATAAAAATGTCATGTTCTAGAAGATGCTTCAGATATGAATCCAGGTTTTCAGGGATCTTAACTACAATGTTGCACTATACAGTATAATTTATTTTATGCTACTTGTCATTATTCCAGTACATTTCATCAGGAAATGCACTACATTTATCTGACAGCTTTGCAGATTGAAACTTTTACATACAAAACATATGGTCAGGTAATAAGATATGATGCATCATTAAAACTTTACAGCCTAAGAACAAATACTTAAAATTAACTTCACCTTAACTAGCATTAATGTACTGCTCGCAGCAGCAAAATAAAACAGTTAAACACTGTCAGGAGCTATTCTACATGAAGAGTACATTTTCCTGATTTGTATTTTACATTTTGCTGCTAATACTTAAAATTCTGAGAGTAGAACTTTTACATTGAATGTAGTATCTCAAGTAATATTATTCCCCCATGCTTTCACATGTTAGACTGAAAATGAAGAAACCCTGACTAAAACCCCGCTGATGGAAGGTCTGCTGAGGACAACCAGGCCGGCACATCATTCAAACACAACCATATGGAGAGCTGTGGGTGATAGTTGGGGAGCACAGCCCTGGTGTTTTTAGTAGACCGGAGGGGATGGGAGAATAAGAGGGACCGAGGGAGGCCTTTGAGATGTAGAATAACTCAAGGTCCCTCTGCTGAAGCCAGGACCCTGCAGTCCTGCAATCTTCGCAATCAGGCAGTAATGCTAGCAGCGACTGTTTCAGATTATGCTCAGGAAATCCTCGTGCTCTCTGCTCAAAACAATTTACCCTGACATGAGCCCAAAAGGGGAGGGGGGCACAACAGAGCTGTCCTCACCACATTTCTACTCCCAGGCCACCGTATTCTCATATTCTCTGCTGCAAATGTGCCCAACAATGTCTCTCAGTTTATTATTGTTGTTGTTGTTGCTTATATAAGCTAAATTTAATGGTGGGGGTGTCTGGAATATTGTGACTAAATATACCTTTTTTAGCCATTTAAAATTAATGTTAAGGTGTATTTAGTTTTGTTTATGAGTAAAGGGCATCTATTTTATCAAACAATGAACTTAGAGCTTCCGTTTTTTCGTGTGAGTTCTTCTTTTCTTTGTCTAGAGCTGGTGGAGACTGAGTGGCTCTTTCCCATGGCCCAGAACCGACAGAACAAACTCACGGAGTGAGCAAAGAAAACACGGTAACAAAAAGCCAATGATCCGCAGGACTCGGGAGGAAAGTGACTAGAGAGAGAGAGACAGGGAGAGGGGAAGGTTTCTCTCCCTCTGGCAAACATGCATCATAGAACAGATCCGGTGTTCAAAAGCACCGATGCTGGTTCATGTGTACTCAGCAGCCTCCTGACTGACAGCTGCTGATGTTGACTCACATTCATATAATTAAATTTCCCTTCATAACTATGTGTTTGAATTCTGTGTTTTGAATTCTCATTATTGTTTCAAACCAAAGAGCAGCTTTAATTGATATGACTCATCTTTTTGATAAAAAAAAAATTCAGATCCAGCCAGTTTTCCAGTTTTTCCAGTGCAGCTTGTTAGACATTTAGCTTGTATTCTCTACATCTTTCACTCAGAAGCACACATAAATACGACAATACCACAAATGTATATAATTTCTTTTACCTTATTTTCTTCAGTTGATGAATATTGATGGTAAACTGTCAGATCCTCCCGACTGGTTTGGTTTGCGCAGGTTCCAGAGCCAGGATCAGGTTAATAACTAGGGTATACATTAAGCTATTTTCTTCTATATACACAAATAACACAGAGACAAATGTATTACTTTTGTTTTATTGGAAACTAATTGCCATTACTCTAATAAAATGTTATCTTTTAGTTTCCATCGCAGGAGCTTGCTATACTTCTTAACAAAATATCATAAATTAAGCAAATGGAGAGTCCAGGTAAGTGTTTCTGGAGTTAAAAGTTTCACAAAGGTCCTATTTGTGGTTTCGAGTGCAGGAGACGAGAAAACCTCCTGTCAGGGGTGGGATATACAGGTTAAGCGCATAAAGGAAGTTGTTCTAAATCCAAATTTAACGACAGACAAGTCAGTCTTTATTATAAGGTAGGCTACTGTTATTTTATACATGTACTCAATTTGATACAGTTGTCAGTCTTTTTTCCGGTCTTTGTTTTTGTGAAATAGAATGATGTGGCAGCCTCTTTAGGAGCCCAAATCCACAAGACTGGAGGTTAGAGGTCCCAACAAGGAGTCCTGCAGTTGGTGCGGGTGTCCGTGCATGCCGTGCACCGGCTGTGGGGCCCCGAGGCCGGACATGGGGTAAGCAGAGGCCCCGGGGTGGTTCATGTTGCCCTGGAGCAAAAGCGCAGAGTTCTGGTCGGGGCTCTGAGGTGGCGAAAACTCGTCCTCCGAGCTGGACATGAGAGACTTTCCTCCGTCCAGCGGGGACAGCTGGTTCTGTTTGTTACCGCCTGCGTTGTTGTTTTCACTGTTCTCTCTGGAAATGACAACAAAGGGGCGAAATATTACAAAACTGGCCAAAATACACGTAAAATGAAGGGTTTACATCGGTATAGGGAATAATTTGATGACAGAAAGTGCCTATACAAACAATGTAAAAGGCTCCATGATTAATTTAAACTAACACAAAAATACAACAGAACAAAATCTATAAACAGTGACGTCTGAGTATTGGCCTGTTTGTACAATTATATATCTATATATATAATATATGATGCATTTTACTTCATGTTGGATGATATGTGACCGATGCTGGTGAAGTGTGTTTGTCATGTGCCTTATTTACTCCATTGTAACCCGATTTAACCTTTAACATGTATCTCAAAAGGTCACTGTTCTCCAAAAATGTGGCAGTTTTTTTTTTTTTACCATAAACAAATCTACCATATAATTTTTAATTCCCGTGTAGTTTAGGTCATAATTCAGGCTTCTGAAGAAAGGTCATTATTTGTCAGCAGCACGCTTCTGTTTAATTACTCTCATTGTCAACATGACTGATTTGGTCATTTAAACATATCCAAACTAAAGAAATAAATTTCAAAATTCAACATGAAACCTAGCGAGGTCTCTCTAATAAGTACTATTGTTTATTTTCCACTTGCATTTTAAATATAGTGAGTACTCCTGTCCTTCCGGCACTTTCTCATACTTTGGTTGCTTTTAACAACATTCTGGCACATTTATAGCTGCTGCAAAGATCATAAAAATATGAATGATCATCAGAAAATACAGGCGGCACCGAGGTGACGTACCTCTCCTTCGCCTCCGCAGCTCTGTCTCTCTGCCGTCTGTTTTTGAACCAGTTGCTGACCTGCGTGGTGGTCAGTCCTGTGGCCTCGGCCAGCTCTCTCTTTTCCCGCGGGGACGGATATGGGTTATGCGTGTACCACTCTCTCAGGACTCCCCTGGACTTCTCTTTAAAGCAATAACTTGTCTCCTCGCCGTCCCATATCGTGCGGGGCAGTGGGAATTTCCTCCGCACCCGGTATTTCCCTGCAGCTCCGAGCGGCCGGCCGCGCAGCTTCTACGTAGTGCGCCTTCAGCCAGAGCTGCTGCAGCTTCGGGTGGTTGTGCGGAGAAAACTGGTGGCTCTCCAGGATTTTATAAAGCTCTCTGAAGTTCCCCCGGTGAAAGGCCACCACCGCTTTCGCTTTGAGGACGCTCTCATTCTTGTGGAGATGATCACAAGCGGGTAAAGACCACAGGAAGCGGCCGAGCCTCTCCAAGTTTCCTCCCTGCTGCAAGACCTCGCAAACACACGCCACTTGCTCCTGCGTAAACCCGAAGGACGGTAATATAGACATGATGTTCGAGCTCGCTCCTCCGCCTAAAACACTGGTATCCAAAACGATAGCTCTAGTTTTGTTGTACGTTTATACTTGATTGTTGCAATCCAATCAATCCAGCGCAATAGTCCGCGCTCACAGGCCTGTAGGCTGTCCACTCCACTGCAGCCTCTGATGCGCGCAGCAGATTGGGATGTTGATTGTTGGGACAATTTGTTCCTGTTGGAGATATGTCAGGCTTAAAGGGAGCCTGTGCGTTTCGGTGATTGGCTCTCCTTCTGCACTGTGCACGCTGTACAGCAGAGCAGGACTGAGTTTGCAGCTCCGTTTCCTCCCCAGAGGCTGTGCGTCAGGGCTGAAATAAGAGCGCTCCCACCTCCCGCCCCCACAGTCCCTCTCCCGCTTCAGCCAGGGGAGCAGAGCAGCACCTAAGCACTAATCAATTATTACAGACCTCTTAAAAACCCTAATTAACATGTTCTGAATATACATCTTCTATAATGCCGACTATATGGCTTCCCACGTGGTGAAGATCGTGTACTACATTTCCATATGTTATTATCAGTAACCACTATCAGTGGAAGGTGAACCCACAAAAACACAAAGCTTTTTATTTGTGGAGGAACGTTTACACACTTCTGGAGGCTGAAACATATAAGCAACAACGATGACAATACAGAGTATTTAAAACAACTCATTTAGGCCTGTATGAAAATATTAAGTCTTTGCCTTTTGTATTGTTTCACCAGCTGGGCGTCGTTTTACTGCAGCTGATTGTTGCTCTCCACCTTAATTAGTCAGATTTCAGGCTGAACATTTTGTTGCACCCCCTCCTTTCATAGTTTAATTACCAAAACTGTTTATTTTATGAGGCGATGTAACTGAATAAATGATAGGTTTGTTCCATGTGTACCATTAGAGCACATCTTCACATGGAGGCTATAGCCATCTACCTGCCAAACGTGTTATGGGCCATAGACCACCAGTAGGAAATCAACCACTTACTGTGTGTGTGTGTGTGTGTGTGTGTGTGTGTGTCTTTATGGACAAGTATTTTGTTTCTGTGCCATCTAAGCTTAATAAACAACCTCAGCAAGTCCTGTAGTCCACATACTGTCAAAACCTGCACCCATAAATAAATGTTTAAACATGCAGGCCCATCCCATGCTGCAGTTTCATTTTTGTTTTTTGATTTGTGAGTTCGCACCTTCCGCGCACTGAAGATTCATTTTTTGCTGACATAGTTGCGAGACTAGCACAGATAAAACTGGTCCCTTTCTCCATTTTTATTTACAGTTTTATGTTGATTTCCCACATCATCACGTGTCCTTCGAGCCTGTAGCCTACATTTATATTTCAAGGATTAGACGGGCACCGCAGTGGCTCCAGTGTTTTCTGTGGGGTGAAACTTTAAACCAATCCATTAGTAAATGAGTTCTTTGCGACACTGGTTCTTGGTGGTGCAGTTGTTCGTTGTCCCGTATAGATCACGTTTCTTTATCGGCACCAGTGTCTGAAATTAAGCTTCCCGTCAGTATGTCAAGGAACAAAACTGAGCCTAGAAAATAATACTTCATTTAAATTCTCACACATGTGGCCTTTCCTAAAGGGTTCTGTCACGATTAGATGCTTAAATGTTTGTTTTTGTAGCGACAGACACGTGGAAAAAAAAACTCTGACGTCCACCATTTGTAATTTAACCTTCAAGATTTAAGGACAAAAATATTCAAGATATTTAAAAACACCTCAGTGGAAATGCAAATGAAAAATGACTGCCTTATAATCAGGTTGTGTCAAGTCAAAGGATTATTTCAGGGTGAAACGTAGCGTGTGTAAAATAAAAATAGGCAGGTAAAACATATATCCTTTTGTTTTCTTTATACTTTTGCTCCTGAAATGCTGGCATGCATCTCACCATGCTGTGATGAAAGTTTAGATATAGAAATACCACATTAGAGTCGGAATCACTGTTATTTGACGAAACCTGTAAGGTTTTGGAGTTCATTCAAGTTTTCAAAACCAATGTCATCAGCCAGGTTAACCGCTTCAAAACATGCAGATAAAGTGTGACTGTGATTTTATAAACAGTTCTTTTTTTATTCCATTGTTTTCTTTAGGCATTATGCTGTAGCTGAAACAATGAGTCTTTCGGCTCCTGGTCCATTTGAGCTCTGTTCTTGGTGGACACACAGACTCCCAGACCACTTTAGCTCGGGGTCTGTAGCTGCTCTCGGCCTGCGTAAAACCCCAGTGCTTCAGTAAATGAGCTGTCTGATGAGCGGCTCTCGGGTTTCGCTAATATCTCTACCACATTGCGCCGCGCCTCCTCCTTTAACCCCAGCAGCCCGGGGGGCGAGATTATTTCAAGATGTGGGTTCTCCGCCCTCCGCCTCTGCCTCGGCCAGCGCCGGGCTCCTCATACCCCGTCATAACGCAGTAGGTAGGCACGCTTTACTTCCTCCTGGCGTCCATTGTTACCCTCAAAACCCACAAAACGTAAGCTGAGCGAAGCGAAATAACCTGGATGCTCCAGGTCACTGCCTTTCCGTAAAAGCTCAGATGAGTCAGAATGTTTTCCCCTCGAAAAAGAAACATTTTCTCATTAAGTCGGTTTAATGTGGCTTCGGCCTGTGCGCGGAACGGATGTGTGTGAGCCGGTGCTCAGTGAATTATTCCACTTCAGAAAAACTATCTGAACACGAGTAGCAACTCCGTATTATTTATTATTTAGCCTATTGATATCAACTAATTCGTTACATGCACTTTTGGGTAGAAGACATAAAATATTGACACCGACACTCCAGATAGAAAAAGGCTCGACTCAAAACACTTCATAAAAGCGTCATCATCAGAAAGCCAGCGTTTCCTATTGGAGGCTTTATGTTTTTTTGAAAATATGGAGGAAAATTGAAAAGCCCACTGGCTCACTGAGCAGCTGGTTTCCAGTCTATCTAAATCCAAAGTGCTATTTCAGCTGTATTGGCTGGAACAAAGCCGACGCTGTTTAAATAAAGAGGAAAATGTCAAATTTAGTAAAATGTCCAATTTAGTCCTTAGCGGTTTCTTGCTTTTGCTTTTTTTCGTCCTCTTTTGGCGTATTCTGCTGACATGCACTGAAGAATGTATTTATTTATACAGAGCAACGTTAAAGTCACTTGTCTTAAATTATAAGCAGGAACTTGTTTTACTTTACATTTGTTTTACATTTTCTATTTTCCCATAACACTACAAGTGCAAGAATATTTCCTTAAGTCTTTTTTTAACATTTCTAATTGCACATTTATTAACAAATGAATTAATATAATAAGCAGCTTGTCCCTGGTTTGTAGTTTCGGGTTAATTAAAAATGTCCTAAGTGTGTCTTTAATTAAAAGTTAGGTTTCGGTGCGAAGACAAAAAGACAGCTCCTTCTCTCAAAACAAAACACGACTGTTGACATGAGTGAGTTAAATGAAATTGGAGCTGCAATTATCAGCTTAACAGAGTTTCCTGTCATGTTAGAAAATTAGCCCTGATACAAGTGCACTGGGGTTGCACCCCATCAAAATCATTACGCATTTCCTCAGAGGACCACCTCCACAAATATGCAATTACGGCCTTGGCTTTTACAGTGCTCCGCGCGTAAACACGCCCCAGGCATATAGAGGAAGATATTTGTTTTAGGCAAATTATTATATCATCATTTTGCTGCGGGATTGGAGCAAGTAAATAAACTAGCCTGGAAGACGAACGCATAAACAAATAAAAATGATTTAAACGTGACGTACAGCCACAGTACCATGTGTGCCAGCTGGCAGAGAGGGGGCACCACGACGATGCGATCATGCAAGTCTTCGTGTAACATCTTAGAGGATGTGCTGTTATTTATGTTTTTGATAAGGGTTTAGCAGTCGGGCAGGTGTTGTGTGTGCCTGTCATGCCAACCGCAGGCCTCTCCGGCTCTGGTCCTGTTATACAGTGGTGTTCCTCCTCTCTGGGAAACACTGTTTTAACAGTGTGGTGTGGACATGATACTGCCTCCCAGCTGCTGCTGTGTGTGTGTCTGCGCCTGCCTGTGTATCACCCACAAGCGCACACACACACTGCACACTTAAAACTGTCGTATGACTGTTTTTCTTGTAGTCCAGAACCAGCTTGCATATTTCCCACACTGGATGATGGAGCAGACATGTGCTCATACCTTGTACTGTGCCAAGCAACAGCTTACAGAAGTGAAGGAAAACTCTACAAGGACTGTGGACACTTATTCCTTTTTATAGTTCACAGTCACCGCCTACTTTCCACAGTGTTGGAAGCTATATAGTAGACTTTGTTTCTGCCAGAGTGGGAACTACTTGGTCAGTAGTGGTGGGTCTGTATGAGCAGGCTGGTACAGGCTGACCCCTGCCCTCTCATTAGTGGGACGTGGAGCAGTGGAGTACCGTGCTCTCCAGGTCATGTTACATATGGCTTGCAGTCTGCTGCGCCGCATTAAATGTCAGCTTTGAAACCATCTGAAAGATCAGAGGTCAGTGTTTTTAATAAGGCCAGAGTTCTGGGGGAGTTCCCTCTTCTTTACTGCGCCCTCAAGTGTGTTTTACACCGTATGCTTGAAATTATGGACAAAAATCATCTACTATTATTTAGGTATGATGTCCTGCAGTGGCATTTTAGAATTCACCACATGGCTGCGTCCATTCAGTTTGAAAAATGTACCACACATCTTCTGTGAAGCAACAATAGTGCTCCTCCTGTCTAATTTATAGACACAATACAAAGGTAGCATTTGGAGTTTTCTGCGGCCCCCTCCCCGTGAGATCCGCAGACCATGGGCTCCTGCTGCAAATGGGATATTGTTCTGGGCTCGAACAAAGCTGTTTTCAGCCTCTTCAATATTACAGGAGGAGTTACCTGATACCTAACAATCAGCTAATCCACTGCCCATGGCGACGAGGTCACCTGTGCACAGGTAACTTTATCCCGGCAGCCTGTCTCTCCCTCCCTTTCCCAATAGTCTCTCCCATTTTTTTTCCTCTCTGACTCTGTGCCTCAACAGTGGGCACAGACAAACAGCTTCTGTTTATTTAGGTCATCAGTTAGATCACATATAACTCCTCCATCCCAGATCTGCTGAGAGGACAACTCCTGTAATCTTCCACTGGCATGCTATGAATAAAATAAAATCTCCTGCTGTTGGTCCATTTGTGAAACTTTGTCTCCAGCTTATCTCTCTTTGCTGGTTTGGTCGGGTGCCCAGTGACAGAACGAGTCCTTGGTGGAAACTCATAAATTCACAGAGAATCCATTCAAGCCATGAGAGCAGTTCGGGCTCTTTTCTGGATAGAGACTCAAGTGTTTGTGAGTGACAGCGCTTCAGAATCATGCTTCCATGTGGTAACGTTAGGGGCTGTTCGGCCTTTGCTCGGGGAAAGCAGCCTTTGGTTTAAACTGCAGACCCCCCACTCAAAAAAGAGCTTTACTCCTGGAAATCTCGTTGGTGTTTATTTGAATTACAGGGCCTGAGATGAGAAAAGGAGGGCTAATGAACTGCAGGTTGCCTGGCATGTGCAAATGATCACTGCAGGTTTGCAGAGAGAAGCACCAGGCGTGCTGGATTACCGTGTGCCACCACCCTCCCCCATTCGCTCTTAAATGCTAGAGTGACAGTTGTTTTTATTACACTCACATCATGTCCTTATGTTTGACAGCTTCAAAGATCATTCCTTAATTTTATCATCTTCATATCATCTTGAAGCTAAAATTATTAGAAAGAATATAAAATGTCAGTTTTATGTTTTTATAAATATAAACTTTTATTGCAGTATGGAGATTTAGAAAAATACATTCACATAATTTCAGATAACAAACATATAATTCCAACTAAGATTTTTAAAAAAAGTTACCACCAGTTTACTATTTGCCCATGAATTGTTTTTTTGGTATACGACAAAGCACTGAAGATATGTCCATTCAAATTGACGGGATCGTGTCAAAAATCTCAACAATTACAGTGTTATTAGTCTACTAGTATAAAGACGTGATGCACTGATGGATGTGCATGGTGGAACTTGGCTGTGAGGCTGCAGTGCTCTATTATGGTCACGAATGACCGCGAGGAACTAGGCTCCCTGTTGCGAAAAGCACCGAACACGCTTGACAAATGGGCTCCGCATTCTCTCATCTGACACCCAAGAAATGTGCCAGCAAAGCCGACAGCGACGACGGTAAATCTCAGAAGCTAAAATGTCACTGCCTGCACACCAATGCGAGAGCTACAACCGACCTTACTTCCAATATTATCCATAAAACAAAAGAAAAAGGCACTAGTGTCCAAAACATTATTACGCCATGCACAGAGAAATTACCCCAACCCCTCTCTGTTTTAAAAACAGATCTGTCCTGTTATTCACTTCTAACTTCTGTCCCTTTGTTCCTTTTATATTTCAAAAGCATACACACTGTAGATGTTTGAATCTGCTTTTACAAAAAATAATCATTCACGCTTACTGACATTTGGAGAGACATCAAAATGAAAAACAATATAGTATAGCATCACCACACCTAGTTAACATACGAGTTGTGGCATTAGAAACAACAGATAATGGACAGTAGGTGAAATGATAGTGCGACCTTTAGCTCGTCTTTCATATCTTGGTCTGACAGGTTGATGATGAGGCTTCAAATCCCTGCTGAAGTGATATGCATTTTGTGTGGTGTGGTGCATTTTGTGCCTCCAACATGAAGGCTGTTTAAAACATAGACATTGTAATGTCGTTGTAGTAGTGCAAATGCCAAAATAGACCAGAAAGGCATGTTCGTCTTAATTCTAGTACCATAGTCAACGCTCCTAGTTTATTTGGTATGATATAAACCAAAAAGGTAGGATTTTGCAGTGACCTGAAGGGCATTCAGAGAATTTAAGGTGCTTACCGAAGGACACTTTTCCCTAAATCTGCAACATTCTGTGTCAAAAAAAAAAAACAACTATGATTTTCTGTATGTCTGTGCAGTCCTTCAGTAAAGCTGTTGCTGTTTTACTGATCATTTTCACAGAGACCCTCTCTTTCTCCCCCCCCTCCTCCTGAATGACCTTTTTGGTTTGACCGAGATGACACATTTAGTTTGGAGGAACATCCCGGTCATGTGACTCCAAGAATTACAGCACCTGCTTCAGCAGATCAAATCCACTCAACAGGAAGTAGCAGGTGTTGTCTATAAAAATGCACATTTAAACGTGGCTCAAACACATACAGTAGCTGTTAGCATGTAACAGCCATAATGTTTCGTCTTACAAATTGGACTTTTAAAACATCACGTGTTCTGTTTTTATGATAAACTGATTGTAACACCTGCAGGGCTTCTTTCTGAATTGAGTGCACTGTAAAAGTCAAATGAACACAAATAATTTAACATTTAAAGGAAATAAATGATTAAAAAAAAACACACACACGCACACACAAACATAAGATTCACCACGTCACTGCTTGGACAGACATGAGTACTTATGTGAGGAAGGTTAAAGGTCAGCCATGTCCTCATCCATCTGCACTGTCTGTAGTTTGGCTAGCTCCTTCCCCTCCATCTCTCCACATATTGCCTGCACCATCTCATTCATGCCTCCTGAGCCAGAGCCCTCCACCTTGTTTTCTGAAAGGTTCATGTAGTCCCTGTTCATGCCGGGGCCTAAAAGGTGTCCCTGGACCTCAGGGCTTCTGAGGTACTCTGTGGGCTGAAGCTGGTGGCTGCTCGGGTCTGTTTGAGCCATCAGGGGCGTGCTGACAGTGAGGGTGGTGTAGACCTCCGGCTCAGGGCTGGATGAGCTGACAGCTGTGGCTTCAGTGGTTGAGGTGGGAGCTTGGCTGGAGGGAACTTCTTCTGAGTCGGGGGTGGTGTAGCTGAGCTGACCGCTGGGGTCCAGGTGGAGCCCATGGTGATATGAGGAGTAGACACCTCCTTCCAGAGGTTCCTTCTTGATGCACGGCTGGCCAGAGTTGCTCATGCTGTAGAGGACTGTGTTGTGGTGCAGAGACGTCATGTTCAGCTTGTCCTGCTGCTGGAATGAGTCGTCACTGGAGGAGCTCACTGCTACATTGTTCAGAGGCATGCTACCTGTGGTGATACAACAATAGATCAATACATATAGTATCTCTTCCTCCACTAAATCCCATTCCCACTGCTGGATCCCAATATGCCCTTACTGTATTATACATTTCATTTAATAGCTGTGTATCTCACACACTGTGCACTTTGAGTTGGACCCCATGGTTCCCCAGAGAATGAATGCAAAGTCCTGCCAGAACTCAACAGCAAGCTGCAATTTTCAGTTTTTCCTTATTATCCATCATGGTGTAGGTGCTCTGCTTTCTGTCAAAGTAAGTGCTGTAATGGCTTATTCCCTGTTAGGGCATTTCATGGCCTCTGATTATCTGAAACATATTTCCCCTCCTCCCTGCGCTGCAGATCAAGAGTGCAATGATGATGAGTGATGGTGGCTTCAGAACCTGTTTCTATTCATCTCTGGGGTTTTCAAAGGACCACCTCATCTATGGATGTGTGTGTGTGTGTGTGGCCCTTCCCTCTTTCTTCTGTTCTGTGGTACGTGTAGTATCAGCCTTTTGGACTCTAGCCCAAACACAGACAAATTAGGAATATGGCAGATCATATATATATATTGGGTGGATTTAGTATTAGCATCTGTTTCCACCACAGCGAGGAAAGGGCAGCACGGACTTGCCATCAAGCTGGGAGTGATAAGGATATAATATATATTTTGTTATTTTTTTAGATCATCTATGTACTGTGGTTGATCTATTTTTTCCTTGGTCTTAAACACTGCAGTGATATAGCTGCAATACCTTTTCTAGATCATTTTTGTATTTAACACAATGAACAGTGAATGCCTCTAAATATCTTGGCATCATTCCCCCATTATTACAACATTTCTCCCACTCCTTTTGATTAATCATTAGATCAAAAATATATTTGATTGTTTCACTGTACTCATCTTTACCTCTGCAATACAAAATGATAATTATTAAAAGTAAAAAGTCTGTCAGCTGTAAAAGTGTATAATGTTAAACAACTAATTTCCTGTACCCACCTTGTTGTGTGATTGTTGAGGCAGAGGAGAGCTGCAGGGGAGGAAGGCCTACATCATTGTTGAGTAATGAGCTACCATCACCGTCAGAGACTCCACTTGATACCTGAACCAGACTGTAGCCACCCAACTGCAGCGGACCTGATGAGGAGCTGAACGTCAGCACAGATGAACCCCCGTTCTGGGCAGCCATGGTGTTGACTCCCTCCAGCTTCACATCGGCTCCATTCACACAGCCAGAGTAGGAGTTGTACTGCAGGCTCGAGTCCTCCACAGAACTGCCCAGTCCCTTCTCCTGCCCTGTCTGCATCTGCATGTCCATTCCGGAGCCCCCCAGCAATACCCCTCCAGCAGGTCTCAGAGGGCTGAAAGCCAGTGGCTGGATGCCTAAATTGAACCCGTTAAAAAGGATGTTTCCGGGTGTGTGGAGGTAAGATGAGCCACCATTGTGAAACACAGTGGAGGAGGTGTTACTGGTCACTAGGCTTCCATTGTAGAGACTGCCACTGGTGGATCCAGGTGGCATCTTGATGTCCCCAATCTGCTGGATGACCACTCCACTGTCCAGAGACCCTGTTTGAACCCCATGGGTGATCACCCCATCTGAAGAGTTGGAGAGGGGCCGGGGTGACAGCTCCTCCTGGCCTTTACTAGACTCATCCTCTGTGCTGTGGTTTCCATCAGATTCACTGTGTGAAAGGACAGAAAGGTGAAATAAAAGGCATAAAAATGACAAAACAAATGAAAAAGGAGTCAGTCTATTTCTGGTAAATTATTGTGATAAAGTGACTTTAAGCCAAACTAGAAAAAGATTGCAAAATGGGTATGTTCCTGATATATGAAATACTTTCCATCCCTTTCATCATAGAAAGAAGACACACTCTAAAGTACTATTATGATTATAGAGTACAAAGTAGTATAATGGTGTATTTATTTTCCTTTAACCCAGAACAGACAGCCTCATTTGCTGCAGTGTTGAAGAGTAGGCTATGTTTATGAATGTGTAGCCCTCTCTTACCTCATGGAGAGCTGCACTCACAACAGCCAGCGCCAACAACCATGCAACCATTTGGCGCAATAAATTCTGCTGTGACAAAATGCCAGCGCTGGCGGCATAACAGAACAAATGGCTGAAACCATTTATGGTTATTTTCCATCGTTTTAAAATACAAAATTAAGCCCTTATTTTTCCCTTTTCAAGAAGCAACAGCACAGTCGATGTAGTAGTTGAATTTTGGTTCGTAACTTCTTTTCTTTAAAGACTGATTAAAACAGCTGCATCCCCTCCAGCCCCAACTGCCTCCAACACACATTCAAACATCTAACCCCCCCCCCACTCCCACCACTCCAAAAAAAGATATAAAGAAAAGCACTGGATAGTCTGTGGCACACCTTCGTTAAGTTTGTTAAAAATCCACAGGTTATAAACTTACCGAGTCATTGTTTCGGAATCATTTTAGTCGAGTTTTACAGGCAGTCCATGATGCTTTGTGTGCACGTGTGCGCGCGAGTTTTAGAGCGCGCGCGTGTGTGAAAAAGAGAGACACGCAGAGGTCACCTCCACCAGGTGTGCGTTAGCTTTGTTCACAGAGAGGGAAACATGAAAGTCAGACTGTCTGTGTGGAGGATTATGGACTGAACCGTAGGAGCTGACGGAGGTTCACATCCTTTTTGGTGTGAGAGGGTAAAAAAGTGATAATGAAAATGGTTTGTGTGTTGGGCCAGAGAAACGCGCACACGCTAGTGTGTATATATAATTGGTTCGTGCACATACACACGTAAATGAACGAGAAAAGCAAATTAATGAAACTTTTCAAGTCACCTCTTGAATTGTTTCACCAAACTGGTCCACGTCTCATGTGTGGCAGTCAAAGCACTGGACTGTGTAAGTCGCTATTTAGCTGCTTATGGTTTCTATGCCCCTTAGCACCAACACACTTGAAACCGGATCTCAGTGGCAACCGCTTCATATTTCAAAACATTAAAAGCGTGCTCCAAACGCTTTTACGCATACTTTTTAGTTTCTTAATTATAAATAGTTAATGATTCCCACTGTCAATTCTTATAAGTGAGTCCAACGGGAAGTAATGAAAGAGTAGTGTCAAACACTATCTTAAGTGTGAATGGCTATAAACTTGGTGCCTTTCCATGAAAAAAAAAGCCTTCAATTACTTTGTTAAAATTAGTCTGTCTATGTAAGGCGCACGTTACGCACAGTGCACTCGGAGAAATGTTTTAATAATTTGGTTTATATGACGTTTGCGATTGAAATATGACAGTTGTTCCTTTTGTTGCCTCACCTTTTTGATTGTGCCTCGGACGGGTTTCTGTCTCTCTGTCTCCTGTTTTTGAACCAGTTGCTGACCTGGGTCAAGGAGAGCCCTGTAATCTTGGCGAGATTTCTTTTCTCGGCAGGAGATGGGTACCTGTTCTGATTATACAGATCCTTCAGCGCGTTTCGAGATCTCTCCTTGAAACAATACACAGTCTCCTCGCCGTCCCAGATAGTCCTGGGGAGAGGGTACTTTCTCCGGATCCGGTACTTGTCCACTGCGCCTAGGGGTCTCCCCCGTGCCTTCTCTGCCTCGGTGTACCGGGCTTTGTACCACAGATCTTGCAGAAATGTATGGTTGGACGGACTGAAACTGTGGTTCTCCAAAATACTATACAGCTCCTGATACCGAGCCTGGTGGAAAGCAACGAGGGCTTGGGCTTTTAAGATGCTTTCATTGCCGCGTAGCAGGTCACTCTGTGCCACAGGAACCTGGCTAGCCGATCCACATTGCCTCCTTGCTGCAAAGCCTCGCAGACACAGGCCACTTGCTCCGGGGAGAAAGCCAGAGAGGAAGCGGCGCTCACCAAAAGCTCCGTGCGCACCGCGTCCGTGTTGGGAGTCGTGCGCTCCATGGACAATTCCGCCGCGTCCAGCGCCACAAGCTTGATGCACTCCCGCTTATCCACCTCCTTTACATTTTCCCTCTTGATGTCATTCGCTGTTGTGACTTCTCCGGCAGAAGAAGAAGACATTTTTTTGTTCAAGCCTTCCCTGGTAAAGTCACTCCTCCCAGCTCGATCAGGTTACCTCCTCGCCATGCGAATGCGATCGGATATCTGACAGCAGCTGTAAGCAGATATCTCGATCCTCCTTTCTTTCCAACGTGACTTTTACTCTGCAGGGACTGGGGCTGGAAGGAGACACACTGGGGTCTATCTGCAGGAGAGACACGCTATTGGCCGCCGAGGGCCCCAAGAGGGAGGAGCGAGCTGGATTCAGACAAGAATGCTTGGTTTTGAGCTGTCAGTCATATAACTTCCTGCAGATTCCCGTAGCTCACCTGTGCAAGGTGAGTGCTTTTGGGATCGTGGGAACGGGATATCCTTGTCTGTATTGTTAGGACCTGCCTTTATTGTAGCTAGGCCTATCTAGAAACATTAAAGCATCAGAGCATTTTAATTCCTTATCGAGGTATGGGAAGCCACGGGGTGAACAATCGTTGAAGTATCCTGACTCATCTAAAATGCTTTTGACAACTTTAAATTAACTCACAAAACACACACACACACACACACGCACACACACACACACACACACACAAAAAAAAAAAAACACCGAGACTGGATTTGTCGGATATACGCAAGGAAATGTTTAAATACAACACTCACATCTCAGTTCTGTATTTATTATTTACTGTATAATATCCAGTTTCCATTATTAGTACAACACACTGTCAAATCTCAACTTATAGGTTTACCTTTGAAAAGCAAATAATTTTACAAGTGGGAAACATTCAGTACAGATTCATAATACGTAGTTAAAGGTGCTTATAGTCATTAAAATTTGATGTGATTAATGCCAACATGTCTGTAGGAACCACTCACACACTGGATTAAGTCACAATACAGCATATCATGATACTATGCAATGTCAGATCAAATCCCATACATAAACAGGGGCAGGCAGAGTAATGGCCAGAGAAACCAACATCTCCACATGTGTGTGCAGCCTGATAGATTTGTCTTCATCCACCAAAAATACTATAACTAGAAGTTTTATTTTCACCTTTTGCCAAGACTGTCATAGCCAGCCACTTCTAGTAATAATATAAGAGGATATAATATCTGTGAAATAAAGCTAGCCACCAACAAATGTCATTCACTTGTTGTGGAATGATATTCACACATTCATAATCATTACAAAAAGTAATAAATAAAATTTTTGTTTGTTTTTGCAAACAGTTTAAATCAAGTGAGTCAGTGAAGTCTATAGCCTTAACCTTAACTGACATTCCCATATAGGTAGTCAGTAAATCAGTGTAACAAATAGGCATGGGTTTTACTAATTGTGAGCTGAATCTCTGATTTCTGAGCTGTAGCCTTTGAAAAGACTGGATCTGAAATTAAAAGATTCAACCAAACTATATGATGTCTGAAACTCTGGGGAAACAACATCTCTTAGATTTGTGGTTTTAATTGTGTTTCAGTCCAGACTTAGATCATTGAATACATGGGTGTTAACTTATAATCAAAACAGCCAGTTTATACTTACTTACTTAAATTAAACATACTGATCTTTTAAAAATTCTTTAATCTGTCATCCCCAGGGGCTCCTCGAGGATCTCTGGGTGTGCATGCACCACAGTGTGTCTGCCCCTGCTGTAGAAGTCTCTATTAAATAGGAACTATTCTTCTTAGTGCTGTTTCACATCGGACCACATTCTGTGCAACACAGGGATTCGCCGCCTGGAAAGTGATAGTGTCGGGGGGATGCCAGTTGTTGACATTTTTTCTCAGGCTTGTTGTTTCGTGTTGCACACGCATAAATGGACGACCAGGGCTGTCCGAGGTGCAAAACAACCAAATACAGGAACCCGTCGCTGAAGCTGATGGTGAACGTCTGCGGTCACACGCTGTGAGTATTTACATCTGACAGCCTCAGAAAGCACAGTCAACAAGAGTTCCCACAGCACGACCATGTCTTTTTTTTGCTTCAAAACGGTGCAAATAGACACTCATCGACACAACAAACACAGGAGTCACGCGGTTAAGTCTTATTTTAAAACAAAGTTCACGTATTTTATGTTTTCGTTCAAGTTTTGTGGCTGGACGTTAACTTAGGCTACAAAAGGCTGAGATGCTCTATGAGCTGTTAGCTAACAGCTAACGGTTTGGTGAGCTCAGTGGTGTCACGTCACATATAAATGAACTGTTGGGTGATTGTGTCAACTGTCAAACCTGCTAACAATTGTTAATGATCGTGGTAGACAGCTCGTAAATCGCAGAAAAATCCAGGATAGCAGGGAGAAGAGTGATTGATGAATGTAAACTTTGTGTGTTTGCAGTGTGTGCTGAAGTTTTAAAGGAGTACAGTTACACAGAGATGTTAAAAAAAAAAGTAAAATCTAATCTGCACTAGTGTTGCACTGTATATTTATAGTAAGACATTAAAAATTCAACCCTATTGTAACCATTTTCACATTTTCATACCTAAACATAACCATCTCTAGGCTGATCCCAAAACCTACTTTGTGGTCAGTTTGGTTTGGTGGGTCAGTTACACCTTTTCTAAGCTCGCTGGCTTAGTGCTAATTTGCTTAAAACACAAGACAGCTACACAAGTTACTGAAAAGTGTAGTTAAAAATGAGCCACAATGATTTAAAACAAAGAAATGTAAGTGAATGTTTGCTGTTGTGAACCTAATCAAACTATCAAAACCTACTATTTTGTTAAAATGACTGGAACAATTAATCAGTTATCACAAATGTAATAGTTACACTAAGGATTTGATGGTGTGTCATCTTCACATCAGTACTGGATAAAACCTTTCCGCTATGCATTTCCAATATTTAACCTTGTCATTTATTTAAAAACCTGGCCATTTAAAGTCAGGGTAAAGTAAAATCAGTGATTTTTTTTCTGAACATGTATAACATGTTCAGAAAATAGTTGCTGAAAACATAAAAAAACTGGCAACTGTGTAGTGCTGAATTGTGGAGTTAGACTATTTCATGGTTTTTGAGTTCAGGAATTTTTAGGCAGGGCAGAAGCCATGGCTGGATGACGCACCGGTGTGTAAATGAAGGGGACATGTTCTTGGTCGTGCAGTGATGGTGGTAACCTGATGAGAGCACCTTTTTGCCTTTGTGTTTATTGACTGTGCTGTCAGGAGGTGGCCGTGCTTTGTCATCAGGTCGGCGAACCCATAACTCACTGTTGCAAGGCTGCACACAGAAAATTAAAACGATTCTGCAATGAAGCAGTTTGGGGAGATATCCCAGCTCAGGTCACCTTGGCTTTGTTTTTCAGAGATGGTGCCACACTGAATTTATGCACCACTTGGAGACTGCTGTTTTCTCAGACAGTATCAGTATTTTCACCACTGATGTTGTTTGGCTTTTTGTTGGCAGCTAGGCTTACTGATGGGTTGATGGATATGCGGCTCTATACTCTAGCTTGAGCATTGTTTCAATTTACTACTGTGGCATAATGAACAATTGTATAAACTGTGAATAAGAAAAGGGGAACTATGAAAAAAAGGAAAATGCATATAAAACAAACTACAATTAGAGAAGTCCATTCCATTGTCTCCTTTTTTCTGATGCTAATGCTTTGACTAAATATAGCTGGAGTTCTTAGATTAAAATAAGTTGTAATAATTTTAACCTGTCCTCTGATTCTTAATGTAATTTGTCTCTGGAGTCATCCCATCTATTTACTTGATTTGTGGGGTTGCTTGTTGATGGACTTAGCCTGGTGATGATTAGTTTTTTTAATTGATTTTTCACTTGATGGAAAATGAATCAACAATTTGATAATTGATTAATCGGCAGTTTATTTATCAAGCAACAGTGATCTTTTCTCATTTTGTTTATCTTACAGTAATTGTAAAGTGTTTGGCTCTTGGTTGGTCTGTGGGAAAGTGTAATAGGTTTCTTTGGGGGGGACGGGGGGAGTTAAATTATTAATCGATTCATTGAGATCTGTATATTAATCAACATCAGAATCATTAGCAGCTGTAGCTTTCTGATGTAGCCACGCTCTACCTTGGTCAGGTTTTCTGACCATTCCATTCTGGGCTGACTAGGCCCCCCTGCCCTGACAATGCAATGCAGTTGAGCTCTTCCACTGCCTGCGTGCATCTAAATTTAAATCCCCCCACAGCACATTTTGTATCCCTGTCACCAGAGGCATTTGATGTTTGTTATTTATTCCTTTTGCACAATGACAGTGGGTCCATGTCCTTTGGCATATGACACTGGGCATGCAGCCACAAACAATGCCGGGGTGGACAGGTTGACAGGATAGACAGATGTCTTTAAGTAGAAGCTTGTTGACTCTACCTCATGGTTGTATGCTCTTGGTTGATATACAGTAGTGAAGTGGGAAAGTCGGGTGTTCATGGTTCCAGAGATAAAATCTCTGTTCATTTTTTTTTTTACAGATACCTCCAAGACATCGGATGGGCTTTAAATACTTATGGTGAAGTAATCAGCCAAAAAGACTGTGTACTTACAAACTTAAAGGAAAAGATCAATAGTTGGGTAAAAATCTACATCCATGAGGTGATTAGTTTAGCTTACTATAAAAGCTCAAAGCAGGGGAAGCAGCTAGCCTGCCCCCTTAAGACCACAGCTTATCATTTGTTTAATTCATTTTCTACAAGGGGCAAACAAACAAGATGTTTTAATATGTAGATTTTTAATAGTAGTTTTAATTTTTAATAGACACTGAGCTTATTATTAAAAGAAATTCAAATCTACAATGGAGAAAATACTTCTGGAATGTGTCTCTGCTGACTTTGCTGCTCTGTAAAGTACACCAAATCTATGCTTTATTTTTTTTTAAGATCACAGTTTCCTGTGTAAGCAGTCATACTCCTGGGCCTCAGCATTTTTGACAGTGCTGCTGCAGGTATCGTAGGTCACAGGGCAGAGACAGGACAGTGTGTCACAATAGGTTTTGGTTTGACACAAAGCCGTCTGTGCTCTGTGTGAACTCAGGCATGGACTCTGTGAAAGTCCTGTGGCAGAAACTGGTGAATCCATCTTTTGTCTGTAAATAGTGCTGCTTTTTTTTTTTTTTTGTTTTGTTTTTTTTTTGTTAAATCTTTCTTGCGAAGGGAGCAGGCCAAGATGCAGTCAGTGACATCAAGGGGTGGTGTCAGTGGAAGAGACACTTTGCTGAGCTAGGGCCCTGTTTTCCCTCCTTTTACCGCCCCCGTCCCTGACCTGCTGACAGCTGCAGATGGAAGAGATAGGAGCCTGGAGCTCTTAGCAGGACAGGTGAGAGCGGGAGTAGTCCGGAGCACTCGCAGCTCTGGGACACACAAAGATGGAATGCTGTCTGTTCACT